TGAAAACGGCTGAGTATAATTTTTTCAGGTTTCTTTGATGAATAGAAAGTTCAGAAGAACTTATCTGAAATATAAATCTTTTGTAACATTATAAATGTCTTTATCATCACTTTTGATCAATTTAAAGCATCCTTGCTAAATAAAAGTATTAATTTCCTCCCCCCCCCAAATATATATATACCGACTCTAAAGCTTTTGAATTGTAGAGTGTATAATGTTACATAAGCTTTTAATTTCAGATAAATGCTGATCTTTGATCTTTCTATTCATCAAAGAATCCTGACGAAAACATGTACTCAACTGTTTTAAGTATTAATAATAATCAGAAATGTTTCTTGAGCAGCAAATCAGCATATTAGAATGATTTCTGAAGATCATGTGACACTGAAGACTGGAGTAATGATGCTGAAAATACAGCTGCGCATCACAGAAATACATTACAGTGTAACACATATTCACATAGAAAACAGCTGCTTTAAATTGTAAAAATATTTCACAATATTGCAGCTTTTGTTGTATTTTGGATCAAATAAATGCAGGCTTGATGAGCAGAAGAGACTTATTTTAAAAAACATTAAAAATCTTACTGATCCCAAACTTTTGACTGGTAGTGTATGTAAACCTAAATCAGGAAATTCTTTTATGCTTTTACTGATTGTTTATGCATATGGCTACATTTGATCTTTTTATCTGAAGTTTTAAAATCATTAAAATGCATTTTATAGATTTGAATGAAAACCAATTAAGGCCTGGTTTCTTACATTAAGCCATGATTAGGCCTTAGTTAAATAAGAACATTTAAGTAGTGTTTTTTTTAAACGTGCCTTCATTACTGGTGTGCATCTTGATAAAAAAAAATCAATGGCACTGATATATTTTATTTTGAAAAGTTAAGACATGCATTTTTAGTCTGGGACTAGTCTTAAGCCTGGTGTATATAAGTGTATAAAAACATGACGAGGAAAGGCGATTATCTTAATATTACATGTTTCCTAATGATTTTTCTCTCTCCAGATATTGATCAAGCCTTATATCTGTTTAATGAGCTCCGGGAACAGGATCCTTTCCGCATCGAAAACATGGACACCTTCTCCAACCTGCTTTATGTGCGGGTGAGAACTGCTGCAGAATTCATGTTTATTATTCTAAATGCATGCTATAGATCTTACTATCAATGATTCATCCATGTGTGTTTCTTTAAAAACAGATTGACTTTCTGATGACGTGTGCTGGTCTTCTCCAGTCGTTTATTCTGGCCCTTTCTTACGATTCACTGCAAGCTCACATTCATTTTGAGTGCATTGCCCACATTTCAAAATCCTGTCCACAGACGCCCTATGTTTTTTCTTTTACGATAATCCGTTACAGATGCATATGAAAGAAAAGATCTGTCTCTCTGCAAGATCCAGTCCTCCTTCCTCAGAAATGTAGCATGTTATCAGAGATTTCTTCAGCAGTGAGCACAATACTAAGCTGGTAGTCATCATCTCCTCCCCTTCATGTCATTCCGGACCCTTCAGACCTTGGATAATCTTTGAAACACAAGATATCTTTCATGAAAAGTAAGGGTTTCTGTTCTACTGAGAGTCCAAGGAACCAAAACTTAGAAGGTCCAAAAAGATCATAAAGGCGTTGAAAAAACAATCCATATGAGTCAAGTGGTTTAATCAAAGCATTATGAAGAGATATGATCACTTTATATGATGAGCAGATTTAATTTAATCTGTGAGGATCTGCACACACACATAGAGCACATACCCCAGCGACTCAAGACTGCTTTTGTGCTGCAGGGACACATATGGCAGATACAGAAGCTTGTGCGTCCGTCCTTCACTCAAAGACGGACTGAAACGACTAACACAAAGGAAATTCAACCATTTTTAGCTTTGGTTATGTGAAGAGTAATGTAAATGATTGATTAATCAGGCAAAGGATAGGTCTGCTGTAAAGTTGGGCAGTTTAACATGGGGAGTCTATGGGACTAACTCCCTTTTGCAGCCAGCCTCTAGCGGCCAGTCGATGAATTACAGTTTAAGTCACTTCCGTGTTGGCTTCACAAGAGAGAGCGGGAGGTTGCCGCTTGGTCTCAGCCAAAGGAATATCTTTGGGTTTAAGGAGGATTGGACTGAGATCTTGCAGAACCATATGGGTTTCTGGGTCAGATTACAATATTCAAGTAAAAAAGCCACAGATTATCTGCTGATATTAAATTAAAGTGAAGTCCAGGTAATATTCTGTTCATATCCTGTGTTTGTCTGTTGTCTAGAGCATGAAGCCAGAGCTCAGTTACCTGGCACACAATCTGGTGGAGATCGATAAGTACCGCGTGGAGACGTGCTGCGTCATCGGTGAGTCCGTCTGGCACGGGACTGTGGGTAATCTCCGCACACGTGGGCCATTTTTGGCTCACACTTGGTACCTTCGCGGTCAAAAGTGACCGAAGCCTTGAAATGTAACTCTTTTTTTCTCTCTCAGGAAAATCAATGTAATATATTTCTGTTCAATAATATTTTTTGATCATTATTTCGAATTTTGAGAGGATGTTATGATACTATGCAATATTTATACAGTTTTTATGAGCTATTTTTTTTCTACACCCATTTTTGACTCCAGAGGCACCAAGTGTTACTTTTTTATTTTTCCGACCCTTTAGCATCATGTCCAAGTTTTTTTGTGTGTGTTCACATAGCTAATGCGACAAACATCACCGAGTGTCGTCCCATTCCGCTGAAGCAAAACATTTATAAATTAAAAAACGCAGCTCTGACTGAAGAGGCCCAGAGGGTTAAGCAGGAATGTAAAGGTGGCTGTTGGATGTTATTGAATAATTTTACCATGAAGTGGGTGTGCTCAAAACAATCTGCCTTCCAGATAAGCAGATGATTGATTTCTTGAACAGGGATGTAATACAAAATCTAGAAAAACCAGTTTGTTGAGGAAATGGTCTGTAAGCATTTATCTTTGGAGTCAATCAACATGAACCATAAAGTCGATTATGAATAGTGTTTTTGTTGTCTGCTCACAGGTAACTACTACAGTCTGCGGTCTCAGCACGAGAAGGCCGCTCTGTATTTCCAGCGGGCTCTGAAGCTGAATCCACGCTGTCTGGGGGCCTGGACCCTCATGGGTCACGAGTACATGGAGATGAAGAACACCTCCGCCGCCATCCAGGCCTACAGGTACATCTGGAGCAGCGCACCTGAAAGCCACCAGAAACCTTGTTCATGATGGCTTGCTGCTGTGTTTGCAGAGTGAAGGTTCATTGAGCCAATCAAATCAATTTTGTGTCACAATCAGCATTATTAAGTGACTGCAGGTATTCAAATCAACACGACTAAACCTTTGCACAGCCTTTTTATCACATTTCAAATCACTCTGTACCGCTACACTAATGATGCGTGCACACCAAAAGCGACGCAAATATTCACATTGCATTATCGTTTCCACAAAAATATTGTGCAGCACAGCTGTGTTCAACATTGATAATAATCAGAAATGTTTGTTGAGCAGCAAATCAGCATATTAGAATGATTTCTGAAGATCATGTGACACTGAAGACTGGAGTAATAATGCTGAAAATTCAACTTTGATCACAGAAATAAATGTATAAGCATACTGAAATGAGAAATAAAAGTATATTGATATAGGAAACCGTTATTTTAGGTGATAATATTACTGTTTTTACATAAATGCTTAAGAAATGTTACAAATCTTACAAATGTTCAATAACATTAAAAAAATTTACCCACCCCAAACCTTTGAACGGTAGTGTGTGTATATATATAATTAAAAATAATAATAATCTTTTTTTTATATAGAATTGCATAAGTAACATTAGTCATGAGTGACATTATTGTGTTTATCCTAAAATTAAATAAAAAATGTAAATTTTAAATTAAAGAAATAAGCCCTGTGAAGCCGTGGTTTACAGTGAATTTATAACAGCTAAGGGGCGTTCGTTCGGTACGACGCGAAGCATTCTTCCACCAAACAATGTAGCTCCTCAGAATCAGTTGTGGTTGCAACAAAGTGGTTGCTGAGCAACACACAAACGTAAACAAAGGTGTATGTTACTTTGTAGAGTAACTTACAACAGCTTTGAACACGGCTCAGCCAATCAGAATCAAGCACCGGAACTATCCGTTTTATAATAATTAAATCTCTTTATTCATTTAATTATTATTTGAGACATCCACCCTATTACTTGGCCATAAAGTTGCTGAGCAACACACAAACGAAAACAAAGGTGTATGTTACTTTGTAGAGTAACTTACAACAGCTTTGAACACGGCTCAGCCAATCAGAATCAAGCACCGGAACTATCCGTTTTATAATAATTAAATCTCTTTATTCATTTAATTATTATTTGAGACATCCACCCTATTACTTGGCCATAAATTTATAATTTATTCATGTTAAATTTGTTTATACCCTTAAAAAATGTAGATGATAAAAATTAATTAAAAATCTAAATAAAAAGTATTAGTTAATAATTAATAATTAAATTAAAATAAATAAAAATGTAATACATTTTTTGTCCTTGTGTCTTAGGCATGCAATTGAAGTGAACAAAAGGGACTACCGGGCCTGGTACGGACTCGGACAGACCTACGAGATCCTCAAGATGCCCTTCTACTCGCTCTACTACTACAGGAAAGCTCATCAGCTGAGGTGAAGACGTCTCCAGCATCATTCAGTGTGTGTTCCTCAGCATCTGCTGCCTTACGCTGTGTGTTTGTGTGCTCGTTTCAGGCCGAACGACTCGCGCATGCTTGTAGCTCTCGGGGAATGTTACGAGAAACTGTCTCAGCAAGTGGAGGCCAAAAAGGTAAAACGGCGACTGTTCATCACTGAAACATGATTCTGCTCCAGAGTGTGTTGTAATGCTGATGACGGTCTGCTTTGATGGGTTCAGTGTTACTGGAGGGCGTATTCGGTCGGCGATGTGGAGAGAATGGCTCTTCTGAAGCTGGCTAAGTGAGTGCGGTTTTCTTCAGGAGTGTGCTGGTGAAAGTGCTGCTGTTTGGGTGAAAGCACGTGTGTCTGTTTCTAGGCTTCACGAGCAGCTGAATGAATCTGACGACGCTGCACAGTGCTACATCATCTACATCCAGGATATTTTCTCGTGTGGGGTAAGTTGCTGGATCTCTGCGCTGTTGAATGTTTAAACCCAGTTTATAAACCTCACGCACAGCTTCTCTTCTGCAGTGCCAGACAACTAGCACCGTTTGACTTCCTTACCTGGACGTTTAATAGTGAATGTTCTGTAGCAAGTAATGTGGACTGGGCTTATTACTTTCCCTATCCACATTTTGTGGAATAATGTTGATGTAATTCTGCACATCATGCCGAGTAAGATGAAGATGTGACTGATGGCAGAGCTCTGTGTGTGTGTGTGTGTCGGTGTGTCTCTGTCTGTGTTTTTTTTTTGTTAACAACTGTTTATTGAATTTTCTTCTGGGAATAATAATATAAAACAAAAAGCAACTGTGCAAATTTAGAACCCATCCCATTTGATTTTGTTTTAAAAATAAACAAAAAAAAAAAAACATGTAGGGAAAATAATGTGTAATAGCCTTGTTAACATTTAAAATGCTCTCCCAATGACAGTTTCATAATACAAACCCTTGAACACAATGAAAAAAAAAAAAAAAGGGAAAATTCCTATCAAAATAAGGCCCCATTCATGTGTCAAGCGGCCACCTGATTATATTAAAGACAGAAATATAAAAGCTCTTGTCTGTGTCCACTGCTGAGCTCCTAATATTTGACTCGGCGCTGTATGGGAGTGGACGGAGGGGACGGCTGGCGCGAGCGCAACACTCGGGTGTACGGTGTGCCCGCCTCAGGCCTCTGTCGCGAGGGGAAGAGCGAGCGGAAGAAGGGGCGCTTCTCAGGAGGCTGGTTCTCCACGTAAGCCACGCCACAGCCCCTCTTCTTGCAGGAGCCGGACGCTGGAGGAGGCTGGCTGCGCTGTAGCTGTGCTAGCAGCTCGTCTTTCTTGCGCAGGTCTGCTCTGACCAGCTGCAGGCTAGTGTGCAGCTCCACCAGCATCTGGTCCTGCAAACAAAGCAAACGGGAGGGAGAGGGCAGCCGACAGGGTTAGAGAGGCCACAGGGAACAATTACATGGTTAATTTAGTTCTTCTGAAATCACACGGATCAGATTAGAAAATCAGGCCAGGAACATCAAAAACAAACAGCATGTTAGTAAAATAAGAGCATGTAGTTTAGAGGGAAGGGATGCATGTGAATCTTGTGCATCATTTGGATTTTGTCAGTAAATGTATTCAATCTAAATTAGTGTGAAAGGAGTTAAAGAGAGAACACAGGAAGAGAAACAGAGGAAGAGACGTTGGTGCGGAACAAACTAACTGCATCCAGCTAGACATTGTTGAATATCAGTAATAGCTCAAATAAATGTTACTTTCCTTTTTATTACATAAAGGATAATCCACGACTAGCTGTGCATTCAATGATTTTAATGCATGACGTGGAGGCAAAGAACCACCTGACGCGAAGTGGAGTGTGTTAAAATCATTGAATGCCCAGCTAGCCGTGGATTATCCCGCTTATACCATGGTCATTTGCCAGCATTGATGTTTGCAACACAATATTACACCGGAAGGGCAAAAATGATGGTTATTTTCATCAGTTAGCTGTGATTTTGACAGACAGAATGCAGCTCTAAGATAGACTGCAATGTTTAATTTCTGATGTTGTCTGAAGTGAGGAGATCTCTTGTGTTTTACCTGTTTGGCGAGTTTGCCGTCTGCGGAGGAGAGTGCGTTTCGGAGCCTCTCTCCGTCGGTGTTGCGGCAGCACGCTCGTTCTCCAGACTGCAGCTTCACGCCCAGCATCTGGAGCTCCATCCGCAGCTGCTTCAGGTTCTGCAACACACAGACACGTCCCATATGAGATACTGCACTTCTCCCTTCAGTGTGTGACAGGAAGAAAAATCAGCTTATTACTGGAAATCATGTCAATCAGCAGTGGAGGATTTGAGTCTGTGCCATCAAGCGCCCCCTAGAGGAAGAAACAGGAGGATCCGTCTCCCACAGAGGGTCAGACATCCCTTAACCATCACTACTGAATGACCTCTAGCATTTACAGAGATGATGTTTCAGAACAGCTTTTCCGAGATGAAACCAACTCTATCTGCAGTACTTTTAATCATTATCGCCCGTTACTGCCCTGGATACTGTAATAATCATCAACGTTGATTAATAGAATACATGTTTTTTTTGTTTTGTTTTTTTTTGTATAGGGCAAATGCACATCTTGTAAACTACCCCAACAAAACTAATGAACTAATAATGAATGAAGTAATTGCTTCAAATTTGACATTACAAAATAAAGCAATAAGCCCCGTGAAGCAGTGGTTTACAGTGAATTTATAACAGTTAAGGGGCGTTGTTAGGCACATTAGCCCCAAGAAGCCGTGGTTTACAGTGAATTTATAACAGATAAGGGGGTTTATATTCTAACTCGTGCCTAACAACGCCCTTTAGCTGTTATAAATTCACTGTAAACCACGGCTTGACTGGGCTTATTGCTTTTATAAAACGGTTATTCCATATACGTAGTAAGGTTTCACAAAATAAAACAGAGCAAATGAAGTGTAATGATATTAATAAAAACAGTATTCTTCCACCAAACAATGTAGTTCCTCAGAAACAGTTGTGGTTGCAACAAAGTGGTTGCCGAGCAACACACAGAAGTAAACAAAGGTGTGTGTTACTTTGTAGAGTCATTTACAACAGCTTCGAACGCGGCTCAACCAATCAGAATCAAGCACCGGAACTCTCCGTTTTATAATCAAGTCTTCACACTGGTTCGCATTCAAGAACTTGTCAGGTTCATCTCTTCCTATGCTTTCACTTCTTCTCTAAACCACTGGATGATCAATCACTTGTGTTCCTCATTTGCTAGTCCCTTTGATAAGAGTAAGAGTGATAATGAGTAAGTGTTGAGGTCCACAGAAGCAGAAGCACTGACCCGCTGGCCCTCCTGCAGTTTGCGCTCGGCTGTAGTTGTCAGGGTTCCTGTGGTGCCCGTCACTGGCAGGTTCTCCTGGAGACGCTTCAGTTCTGAACGAGAGTGTGGATTTAGTTGTAGAAAAATCATCTCTGAATCGGTTATTTCTCCTCCTTTTCCACCTTACCCAGAGTTTTCAGGCGCAGTTCTGTGTGTTTGAGGTCCAGCTCAGCTTTGCACTGCTCCAGCTCGGCTTTACACTGCGTCAGCTCCACGCTCTCGTGATCCGCGTCTCGTTTGTGTGTGGAAGCCAAGCGCCGCGAGCGCCGTGGACCGCTGACGTCACTCAGAGGCGGGAAAATGGGAGCTGGGGCGATGTGACCCTCTTCGTTCTCCTTCAGAGCTGCAGCAAGCTCTCGGATCTCTTCGTCTCGCTCCTTCAAGACGAGAGAAATACTATCAACAACTCACATCCTGTACATAGTAATAACATGAGCTTTGGAAACAACAGTGTTCACGCCGTTGTGTTTATTATATATAAATAATCATCTTTATAGCAAATGCTGTTCTTCTCAACTTTCTATTCATCTGTGAACCCTGAAAAATAAAATGTATGACGGTTTCCACACATATTGTGCAGTACAACGGTGTTCAACATTGATAATCAGAAATGTTTCTAATAACCAGGATATTAGAATGATTTCTGAAGATCATGTGACACTGAAGACTGGAGTAATGATGCTGAAAATACAGCTGCGCATCACAGAAATACATTACAGTTTAACAGATATTCACATAGAAAACAGCTGTTTTAGATTCTAATAATATTTCACAATGTTTACTGTATTTTAATCAAATCAAGCCTTGAGACATAAAAAAAAAATTCTACTGACAATCTTTTGAACAGTAATAACTAATCTGATAAAATACATGTTTTAACAGCAGGAATGGTCAGATTTATTATAGATCATAGATTATCGTCATTGCTCTCTAACATCACTGACCTCTAGCTCCTGGCTGTAATATTTCTTCAGGCTGCTCTTCAAGTTGTTGAGTTTGTTCTCACATCTCTTCTCCATCAGACCCCTCTCGGTTTCCAGCGTCTCGCTGCACAAGGAAGGAACTTAAAACATCCAAATGGTCCACAACATCTTACTCTTTTTGATCCACAGAAGCGCTGTAGAGGTACCTGAAGTCCTCCTGCATGCGGCTGATGACCTCCATCATCTCAGCTCAGACCTGCTCTCGAACCGTGGCCTCCAGCTCCTCTTTCTCCTGCCGCTGACGCAGCACTTCACGCTTCAGAACATCGATGGCCTTCAGCAGCGCCTGCCCAACATGCAGAAAACAGCACAGTTACAGAAGAAACATCTTTACGCTTTCAGACCAATAAAGTGTCTGAGACATTCACATGAAAAATATACAGTCATCAACAGAACTGATTACATGTGAACTGGATTCCGTAATCCACAAATTACATTAAAATACTCTTAATCAGATTACAGTTACTTTATTGATTAGATGAATACATATGCACACAATAGCAAAACATTTATAATTGATTCTCCCCAATTTTTCATCTTTCAAATGTTCCTTTCTAAAATATCCTACCGCTTACAGTACACTCAAAGTCTGGTCTCTCGAATTTTAATAATATTTAAGTACAAAATTCGAATGTAGTTTTTCAGCCATTTTGACAGCCCTAATCAGCATGGTTTATTTGATTATTTCACCTAAAACATGTAATGGGTCAGACTACAATTAGAATCAGAAACAGACTACAACTTGCAGTCCTCTCGTCTCTCTTATAGCGAATCTAAAAGTGTATTTACTTCAGGGTCAAACATGGTGATGTCTCCTTCCTCGTCGCTCTCCTCCTCCTCCAGTAGAGTGGTGTTGTTGAGATGCGCTGGCGGCTCACGAAGCAGCGACAGAATATAAGCCACCCGCGTCTTACTGCACGGCCCGTGCACCAGCTGACACAACAGAGAGAGAGAGAGATCTGTGAACGGAGGATGTTTGGTGTCCAGAGGAGAGAGGAAACAGTCGGTCATGTTGTTACCTGTGTGGCGATGGCAGAGAACTTGAGCGCTTGCAGCGTCTCGTCGTAGGTGGAGGCGCAGGGGTTAATGTTGACCAGCATGCAGGAGCGGCCGTGACCACAGAAGAAGCTCTGCAGGACCCTGGTTAACTTGCTGTCTCTGAACGGAACGACCAGCGGAGGCCGAGACCTGTGGCGATGACAGTATAAATCGATCAGGCAGCTGGTGGCGACCTCGCGCTCCCAGTCACGTGAAGCGTCACTCACTTATTGGTCTGGTTGTGTCTCAGAGCAGTGATGCAGCGCCCCAGCGTCAGCAGAGAGGTGTTGATGTTGTTCGCCTCTTTCATTCTCTCGCCGTTCTGCTGGGCTTTACAGCGCTCAGACCCCGCCAAATCACACACAGAGAGCCTGCCGGGACAAAACACATGACAACTCCACATTAACAGCTGGAATAATTCTACAGGCTTCAGTCCAATACAACAACTACAAAACATACCACTAATGAAGCAGTGAACCATAACGTGAACGGACTTACTCGCTGATTCTGGTCACCTGTCCCAGCTCTGCTTGTGGCTTGACATGTAGAACACGGATAGTAAAGATACTATGGCTAGAAATGTCAAGAAAACACATTGTTATATTTTGCCCTCACATAAAATTCACATTGAAATGACTGAAATTTAAGCGGTCTAAATGACTGGAGTCCTGAATGAAGATCCACTGTATTTTTTTGAAACATCATAAACTCAAGTGTTACAATGTTTCATCTTTTTGTAACGAAACACATGCATGGATGAACGGCTCACAATAAGATCAATAACACGTATAAAAGAAAAAGAGTGTGAATTTCACTTCATGCTGATTTTAATGGCGTTCAGCAGGTACCTGCGGCTGGAGTTGTGGTTTAGGTGAGTGCTGGCAAAGCTTTGATTGCGTTGTCCAGCTTTAAGCACTTTCCAGGCCTCTTCTGCACTTCGTACCTGAATCCAGGTCAGATCTAATGCAAGGACACGAACAGTTCAATATCATTAAAATTGAAAGAACACATTTAAATGTAACTTCTGTTCCGTTTGTGATTCTTACCCTTTACGTAAGGGTTTCCATGTTTGTCGTCGCTGAGGCGTAGCGTGGCTCTCTTGTGGGACTGAAGTGAAGGTGGAGCGTCCAGGAGATCGTAAAGAAACTCGTTGTAGATCTCATAAAACGAGACCCAGACTGAGAACTGCACACCCTCCTCAAGATCCTCTCCACCGCTGAGACACAGACCATTCGCCTCCAAACACATGCCATCTGAGTCTGGAGGACAAACACACACCCGCAGAAGCAGTTTTACGTTAGGATTAGGGTCACATTCACCCAAATTCTGCATTTGAAATCTCAAACATATCTAACAAGTAAAGCTGGAATCGGTCACTTCTTATAAACAGAATGGAAGTCTCTTTAAGTGGCCTAACATTTGTGACCTGTGCTGACAAAACGAGTCACAATGAGCAAATTTTCAATAATGAGTTCTTTTTACGTTCACGTTCTCCATGAAAAACCTTCAGAATGATGTATGATTTGTTGGAACCGGATGAAAAATGACTTGAGCTACACCAGTTTGATGTCGATAGAGTCAGCAAAGTCAGAGTTACAGTTTTCTGAAGGTTCTAAAGCAGAATCACCTGCAACGTTGCATCTTTTCCTCCAGTTCTTTTCTTAATAATTACTCTATTAACAATCACAATATAGCCATTTTATATTTGTTATTATAAAGAACAGATGCAAAAAGAAAAGAAAAGTAGAATATAAGAAAAAACAAAAAACAATGCATAACCTTTTTCCATCTAAACAAAAGCATTCAAGTAAGAAAAACAAATAATCAAAAGTAAAAATCCATTTAGTGTTCATTACAAATAAATTGATTATTAAAACTACAAAAGCAGTTCAATCAAGAGCAGCGAGTGATTCCCTCTTTTCTTTTATCGTTAGATTATCATTAATGAGAGACGGCCGGTATTAAGACCTACTGTAATGCATGGATCTAATATAATGTTACACATCAGATGTTTTTCCCCAAACGTTCACTTAAGACATAACAGATTATGTTCGCGTGAATACTGTAATTGTGTGTATATTTAGCGGAGCGGAGAAAAGGTACTCCTGTTAGAAAATGTACAAATAAAGGTAATTAAACATCTAAAATTATTATTTGGAGTGCTAGATGAGGGCTAAATTAACTCATTTTTGTGAAAACCTCAAAATCGACATTTTTCACTTTTTCTGCCTGTAGCTCAAAATTAGCCTGTGCGCATTCCCACTCGTTTTTCCAGCACAGGTCACATATCAACATTCACTGAACCAAAGTCTGGGCTGAGTGTGAATGATTCTGCCACTGCTTTCAGTGTGATGTAGCTCAGGGTGGATGTCAGAGCTCCTCACCCTCCAGCTGTGTTGCGATGTGACTGGCTGCTGAGAGTCCGCTGATGCCACTGTCCCAGGACAAACCCGCTCGCAGCCTGGACTGAGCTCCACCTGTGCTTTCCACCTGAACAAAACAAAGACCATTAGAGTCGGCCCAGGAAAACCTCACACTCCTGAGGGACAACAAAGGATTCATTAGTATTATTGTTAATGCCTTTACAGAAACACTGAATGGCCAATAACGTCGGACAAACATGCATTCACACATTTTCACGTAGTTGCCATGTTTTAATTCTAATTACTAGTTCTATCATAAAATAAGTTATATGTGACCTCAGGAACACAGAGACTAACGCTCGCGGCAGCAGACCCGCCTCTCCACCCGCACCTGCTCGATCAAAGCCACTCTTAACAACCGTCCAGCTGTACAGAAACACATGCACGGTGCTGGAATGGCCGTCTTACCCTGTATGGTGTAGGTTTTGCCCGAGTTGGTCACGCCGTAAGTGTAGAGGAGCCGGTTTTCTCCACGCAGAACGTCTCGCACCATCTCCCGTATGGTGTGATCGTAGACCTCCTGCTGAGAGCTCTGCGCTCCAAAAATCTGCACGAATGAGAAATGTCATGTGATGCCACATCCAGGGTGAAGCTTGCCTCTTTGAGGATTTCCTTGATGGTGGACGCCTTACCTTTGTGAAGGTGAACTTGTGCAGGCTTTGAGCGACGCCTCTCTCGGCACTCTTGTTGTTGTGGGAGTCTTTGGGCGCTCGGAGAAGCAGATTATCCTCAGACTGCACATTTACACAACCCTGAAGAGCACAAGCAGCACAATAAAGACGTCATTGTTAGCCAAACAAGCCCTTCTTTACTTAAAGTGTTTCACAAGAGTGTGCCGACTTCCTTCACCTGCTCCTCTCCCCGCTCTTGCTCGGCTTCAGTAAGAGGACGGATCCGCAGGAAAACCTTCAGCTTCTCTGAGCCGTCATCAGCACTGCCTCTTCTACTGACATCAGTCGTGATCTGCAGCCAAACAGATGAAGGATCCATCAACATCACAGCCTGAGCTACTAACCATTAAACAAGCAGGAAAAACATTTCGTACAGCTGTCTTTAGTGAATAGAATAATTGTGAGGGAGCTGCTTTTGGCAATGTGATAATCTGAGACACAAGAGCCCACTGAACAAACAGTGAGCGTCAGCCTGGGGCCAGTTCAGCTAAACTTAATTTACTGTAGCATAGGGCCCTATGATTGTATGAATAAATCAAAAGTAGTGCAGTACAACACATCAAATTGCATACTGGACTGGTGTCTATGAACATTAAACCACAAGACTGCTATTTTAATATAAAGTCTGTATTTCACCATTTCATTTGATAACTCATTAAATCATATACACACACAAACTCAAGTCTTCACAACAACCCACCAAAATAAATGTTTACCTTGAAGAACCCAAAATAGTAGTAATAACACAAGATTATTTTTCATCCACGCTTTCATTTGAACGGTTAACCTCTGTTGCACTTAAAAATAAAAGAAACTGTTTACGTTTTATGCATTCATTTAATTACTATCATTTTTGATTATAAATATTAAATCAAGACGGACAACAAATATAAAACATTTTATAGGGCCCCATTATTGTTTATTTTAATCATGCTTTTGATTATTAAAACATAATTGAGCCATTAAAACAGAATACAGAAATAAAACTGATTTCATAGGACTATTTTCACATTACTAGAAAAAGTGTAGTAACCATGTTTTTTTGTTACCTGCCTGTAACTTTCTAGTGAGCCTGAAGACCTTGATGCTCTGGTTCAGGTGTGTTTGCATAGGATTGGAGCTGCACCCTGAACTACAGTTTTATTTGCACCATGGTTAATTTTCGTAAGGGACTTATATTTTTAGTTAAATGTTCAAAAATTGAAAACAAAATCTTGGATTGGTCAAAAAAAAAAAAAAAAGATTTTATTTTTTTTGCCCTAGTTGTAGTTAGAGCATCTACCAGCAGAGGCTAAGTCCAGCTAGTGCACGACGAGCATTTGTGGTTAAAAACTATAGAAATTTGTATTTTTTAAAGAAAATGACCGGTGGTTTTTCTAGAGAAGACTCTTATTCCTCGGTTGGGATTGTGTAGATCCCTTTAAATCTGCACTGAAACTGTAATCTGGACCTTCAGCCCATTGAAGTCCATTAAATGAAGAAAAACCTTCATTTCTTTGCGACTGAAGACAGAAAGACATGAACATATTGGATGACATAGGGGTGAGTAAATTACCAGGAGATGTCATACCTCTTGAGTGGGTGTACGGGGGTCTGCAGCAGGGCTGATGACTGAGATCTCCGGCAGAACAGACACAAAGCGCTGAGATCTCACCACAGCTCCAATATCAGCAGCTGTGGACTCAAAAACAGCCCCGCACTCGTCCTCATCAGACAGGAGCCCGCACGGAGACGCCAGAGCCATGACCACACACTAGACACAAGAACACGCACAAAACTACTGTCAGGACGGTAATGCGTGGACAGCTAACTAACTAACCACTAGTCATTCGGTTAGCCAGCTAGCTGCAGTTCAGCTCAAAGACTGGCTGGTAAACAATGACACAATATGATATAGCTAACAATAAAATACGCGAACAAACGAGCAACATTTCGACAGAATAGCGAGATTTATTTTAATATGCTAACGCTGTGTTTGCTTAGCAGCTAGCATCGCATATTCGCAAAGACTCGGCTCATACATTTTCGTAACGTTACCTTGATTTATGACGTCCTCCGGATCCTACCGTAATTTTACAGTTATATAAGCGACTCCTACAGCTAAGCTAGAATCAGAACATCTAACCTGGACACAGTTAGTACTGTAACTAACCTAAACCTAAACTCACCCGTCCACCTGAACAGCTCACTAACTGTTACTGAGACGACAACATATTTGAACGCCGCGGTCGGTGCGCTCCACCAATCACCGCGCACCGGAGCAATTCCAACTGGCCAATCAGACACGCCGGAGGAAATACTTTGCTTTTGATTGGTCAGCATTTCCAAACGGCGCTTCCCCTCCCTTAGGTGTGGCAGTATGTTCATTTATTTTGAACCTTATGATTTCGCTTGGTACTTTTAATGTACAAATCTAAGCCAGGTTTTAAAGTTTTTAGCTTTAACATTGAGTCTCTTAAACGTATTTCAAATTAAAATCGGTTTCATTGTGTGTGTGTGTGTGAGGGCAATAGAATATACGGTCTGTACAGTATAAAAACCATTACGCCTATGGAGAGTCCCCACAAGGATAGCTGACCAGACATGTGTGTGTGAGTGAGTGTGTGTGTGTGTGTGTGTGTGTGTATGTGTGTGCGCGGACCGGTTTATGAGGACACACATTTGTATAATGACATGGGTATGACAGGTATTACAATGTGAAAGTGGTTATGAGGACACTTCATGTGTCCCCATAATTCAAATGGCTTAAAAACATACTAAATGCTGTTTTATTGAAAATCTAAAAATGCATAAAGTTTTCTGTGAGAGGTACAGTATAAAAACCATTATGCCTATGGAGAGTCCCCATAAACCACATATACTAACGTGTGTGTGTGTGTGTATACAGTATATATATATACATACCGTTCAAAAGTTTGGGATCAGAGTGATTTTTTATGTTTTTACAGGAGTCTCTTCTGCTCATCAAGGCTGCATTTATTTGATCAAAAATACTGGGGAAAATGTAATATTGTGAAATATTATTATGATGTAAAATAAAGTTTTTCTATTTTAATATACATGAAAATATAATGTATTTGTGTGATGCGCAGCTGTATTTTCAGCATCATTACTCCAGTCTTCAGTGTCACATGATCTTCAGAAATCATAATAATATGCTGATTTATTATCAGTTGTGCTGCTTCATATTTTTTTGGGAAGCTGTGATCCTTTTTTTCAGGATTCTTTGACGAATAAAAAGTTCAAAAGAGCAGCATTTCTTTAAAAAAGAAATCTTTTCTAACAATATACACTACCGTTCAAAAGTTTGGGGTCAGTAACTGCAGTAATGATGCTGAAAATACAGCTGCGCATCACAGACATAAATTATATTTTAAAGGATATTAAACCAGAAACCATTATTTCATATTGTAATAACATTTTGCAAGATTACATTTACATTTAGTCATTATGTAGGCTAATAATGACTAATATGTAATCATTTATCAAAACAGATTACGTTTTTTTCTGTATTTTTGATCAAATAAATGCAGCCTTGATGAGCAGAAGAAACTCCTTTCAGAAACATCACAAGTCTTATTGATCCCAAACCTTTGAGCGCTAGTGTGTAACATTATAGCCTATACAGCACCTGCACGTAAACATGACGTAAATGGACCGGACGCTGATTAACAAATGAATAAATGTATTTATATGAGTGTGTCGCTGCAGTAATGTTCAGGGCCACTGCTGTCTCCTCTGCCTCTGGAGCACATTTTTGGCGAATGAACCACTGGGTTTCTTCTTAGCTTCCTCCTCCTCCGCGGTCTTTTCGTACTTCTTGATCAGTCCATCGATATATCTGACGCTTTCTGTCAAGAAGTCTCTTTTCTCCTCCAGTTTCTCCGTCTTCCTCGCTCGTGTGGTGGAGCCGCCGCGCGGAGGGAAGGGCGCCGAGCTCCGGATCACTGAGTTCGGGATGAAGCCGTCGGGAGCGACCGGCCAGATGACTCTCGCGCGGCTCGGCCTGAGCTTTATGTCCGGTGGTTTTGTCGGTGGAGGCGGAGGATGTGTTTTTTTCACTGTTCTCGGCGCCGGGACCGGCGGCTGCTTTCTGCAGCAGCTCCCCCGATGCGGTGAACACGGACCCGAGCCGCTCTTCCGGACTCCTCTGCTAACATCCGACCTCTTGTTCATGCTTGTGTTTTTCTCTCACAGCGAAGAACCGCAGGTGAATAATCGAACTGAAGAAAAGCAAGCGTTTAAAAGTAAACAAGACGTTTAAAACCATTAAATTGACCATTAAATTGTTTAGTGCATAACGCTGAATTAATTCTTGTGGCATTGCAACCTTATATATTTTATTTGGTAACTTTTGGAATCTGTAATAGTCTATCCCTTACGAAAATTAGCAATGGTTTTACTACAAATACAAAAAAAAACAAAAAACTTTTATAGTTAATATATTGTTGCTCTTTTGTTAGTTTTGACTGCTTTTATTGCTCTCATTTGTAAGTCGCTTTGGATAAAAGCGTCTGCTAAATGACTAAATGTAAATGTAAACCACGGTAACCATATTAACCATGGTTTTGTTACACTAACCATCAGTGTTGGGGGTAACGCATTACAAGTAACGCGAGTTATGTAATCAGATTACTTTTCAAGTAACTAGTAAAGTAAAGCATTACTTTTTAATTTACAGGAAATAATTTGAGTTACTCTTTCAAATAAGTAATGCCAGTTTCTTTGTTTTCCCAGTTATTGACTGACAGCTCTGCTGTCCCCATGATTTTGCTGCTGACCTATTCAACCATACTAAAAAGCAAACATGACTTTAGATAAACATAACATTTGTGTTTTATTGTTTTGTGATTGAGAAGAAAGTGCTTTTTTTTGCGCTCTATTCTCTATGCAATCCACCACAGCTGAAAGGATTTGAGCTTTTTGAAATGACATTTCCTTCACTTTTAGTGTGAAAGGGCTTTTACATTTGCCAAAAATGGAACCTTTTATATTAAAAACAAACAAGCAACCCCAATACCAGATGAGAAAAAGTAACGCACAAGTAACGTAACGCATTCCTTTTTTTTACGGAGTAACGCAATATTGTAATACATTACTTTTAAAAGTAACTTTCCCTAACACTGCTAACTATACAACCCTATGTGTGTGTGTGTGTGTATATGTGTGTATATATGTATATGTGTATGTATATATTTATCAGTCTGGCGAGTAAACAAAAAAATTTACTAGCCAATGGCGATTCAATTGCCAAGGTGTTCGTAGAGGGCTGCTATAGTTTAAAAGTTACAAAACACATGGTTTCTAGTAATAAAACCATGGTTAATTTTCATAAGGGTAGTAGCTTACATGTTTAAATGTATGATGATGTGAAATGAATTGCCTATTAGTTTCAGTGTTGTGTGTGAAAGTGATGATATACATGTAATGATGTCCAAAATGATTGTTAATTCATTGCTAAAGTTGAGTTGCATGTGCTTGTATTTGCATAGCTTACATAGCTTACACCAGTTTTGATGTCAGATATTTTGGAACAATGAATGATGCTGTTTTCAAGCACAAATGTTTAAGGCATAATAAATCACAAAAGAGTGTATTTCTTCATTCTCTTTCAGTCAGTTTGAGTGTGTGATTAACCTGCATGTGAGCTTCCTTTCATGTTTCTGAACTTCAGGACCTAGACGACCCAAACACCTGTTGCATCGATAAAAATGTGAATGATAGAGTCCAGACAGATGTTCAGAAAGTTTAGACCGACAAGTTGTTTGCATTTGTCCAGTCTGATCAGCAGTTCTTTAATTCTTTAGGCTGATTAATCCAAAATACATAAATAAATGATGTAAACCCAGAATTTCCCCATCATCATTTGAAGACAGACTGTGAGGGTTTTGATATTTGTTGCATGCTGCGTTGCCAGTGAGTGATAAAATCAGACATGCACAAGTCACTTTGATCTAAATGGCTTTGCTAAAGTTGAGTTGCATGTGCTTGTATTTGCATAGCTTACATAGCTTACACCAGTTTTGATGTCAGATATTTTGGAACAATGAATGATGCTGTTTTCAAGCACAAATGTTTAAGGCATAATAAATCACAAAAGAGTGTATTTCTTCATTCTCTTTCAGTCAGTTTGAGTGTGTGATTAACCTGCATGTGAGCTTCCTTTCATGTTTCTGAACTTCAGGAGACGACCCACACACCTGTTGCATCGATAAAAATGTGAATGATAGAGTCCAGACAGATGCTCAGAAAGTTTAGACCGACAAGTTGTTTGCATTTGTCCAGTCTGATCAGCAGTTCTTTAATTCTTTAGGCTGATTAATCCAAAATACATAAATAAATGATGTAAACCCAGAATTTCCCCATCATCATTTGAAGACAGACTGTGAGGGTTTTGATATTTGTTGCATGCTGCGTTGCCAGTGAGTGATAAAATCAGACATGCACAAGTCACTTTGATCTAAATGGCTTTAGGTTTTTGTTCACTTTTTCTACAACACAGAGAAAGAATCTGTGGGACAAATCCCAGAGACAAATGTGTGGGACATGTGCATGACTTCTGATTGGTGTCTTGAGGGCTCCATAAAAGGAGAGAGTATAGGAGTCAAAGAGGCTCCTGCGAAGCAGAGAAACGGCGCAGCGTCAGCACAGAAGAGCTGGAGAACCATCACCGTGACGGACACGAAGAAGAATTGCTGTGGAAGTAGTCTGGGAAGATACCATTGCAAAACAGAGACATGTGAGTTTGCTGCCCAAGCCCTCGAACCTCACAGAGTTTTATTACTAGACTTTGGAAATACAATAATATGCTTTAGATGCATCAGTAACTCTAATATAATGTAATGTCTGATTTAACTTCTCTTTTGTATTTCTCGGGCCGGATCAGGCTGGTGAGTGAGAGGTTCTGGCTAAACTTAGTCTGGACAATAGTCTGTCATGATGGTGTACAGTTACAACACAGTTGGTGTGAGAAGTAGCTATATATAGATTCATGTAGTGACCACATACTGGCAAGAAGGTGAAAGTACAAAAACAAACTTGAAAAGAGTTACAAGTGCAAAAGGATCTCTCCACAGGCTGAGATATATACCGGAACCCCCAAATTATTCTTAAATGAGATATTGTTTTATATTGTGCATCTAAATTATTATCTTTTGTGCTTTTGGAGCTTCTTGAGCCCCTTCTTTTCTTCTTGCCATGGGCAACTACGCATTTACTGCAGGTAAGACATCCGTCTCTGCGTTCCTTCATTCATTGACCAAATACAAATTAGAGCACTACTGCATTTTAATAACTTAAGATTGTTTTTTGCTCTATTGTGCTTGGTTTGCTTTGCATTTGTTTTATTTCTCATAAAATCATAATGCATATGTAATGTTGGTCTTTTTATTATTATTGATGATAAATGATAGTTTGTCCGGTGGCACCTTATTTCCCCCAGAACTGTGTGTGCATTATTTTCCACATTTTGCGTCTCATCGTCACAGATGTCGAAGATTTCAAGTCCATCGTGTCGACTCTAGAGAACCAGCGCATTCTGAGCGAACACAGCAGACTGCAGAACATGCTCTCTCTGAATCATGTCAGTAAGTCAATTATCACCTATTAAATGACTGCATGAACAAGCCGTGACATTTGAGTTATCATGCATTTAGTGTCATCCAATATAGTCACGTTTTGCCGCTGTGTCAGGATGTCCTTGAGTTATATTTAACTTCTCAATCTTAATTGGTGTGTAAGTCACATACTGCGCACATCCTAACAACTCACACGTTGCTATGACTGATACTGTACAAAACAGTGTGATGCTTTCATATTAAGTTACAGTATTACTGGAATAAAATTGTCTAAGATCCTAAAACTGAAGTCTAGAGAATAAAATCTCATGCTCTATGAAGATATTGAGTGTTTTGTGCTTATTACGTCTCTTCGCAGGCTGCTGAGGAAGAAACAGGACAGCAGATGATTGAAGTGACTCAGGAACCAGACCTGCTGGCCCTCAAGTTTCTGTACAGTAACACAGATGCACACAAAGACACCGCAGTAAGTCTGTTTGCAAGAAAAAGCCATTGTTCTGTGGATTTTCCCTAATGGGGTTTCCAAACGTTTCCGTCAGTCGAATGCCTCAGAAGTACATTATTAGCTTGAGCTACTCCAGCAATTTATTGTTTATTCCCTGATTTTGGTTAAATGCAAGTAAACAGATAATATATTCAAATGTTAGTGTTTTATTTTGATTAATAGGCTGCACACCAAAAAATTATATCGTGATTGTGTCATATATCATGATTGCGATTTGAATTTAATTTCAGTGTTAATTATTAGCAATAGGAAATAGTTTAGACTATTTTAGTCTAAAAATGTTGACTAAAATTATAGTCTTCATTAATCTTCAGCATTCAAAACTGGATTTTTTTGGGCCTAATGCCTAAATGCCCAGTGTTGCATGTAATGCATTACTAAGTAATTAATTACTGAATTAAATTATAGTAATTATATATCATTATATTAACTATATATTATATATATGTATAATTTAATTACTTTTGGCTTGAAAAGTAAAGTAAGGGATTACTCTTAATTTTTCTGTAACTTAATTACGGATGTAACTGCATTAAATACTCTATAGAGTATAGAACAATTCTATACAAAACAATAGTGGATTTAACATCAAAATTTAACATCTAATGTTAAAATGCATGTTTTTAATGTAACCTTCTCCCTTTAAATACTTTGGTGAGTTGAAAAGTAATTTACGCAGTTTTATAATATTAATTTGAAAGAATTAAAAGAGCAGTTTTGGGATACACAGCACAGCTGATATGGGATTTAGAAAGTAATTAGTTTAGACTATTTTATTTAATTTTTTAGTCATGCATTACTTATTAGAGCTTATTCTTTTATATATTTTAATATGTACTCGTCAGAATAAGCATGTTTGAATTTTTACATAAATATTGTGTTACACTGAATGACAATGTAACATTATTTCAACCAAATTGTAACATTTTATTCTCCAAACACGTATTTGAAACCTTAAAAGTAGACACTTTAATTACATTTAATGTGCTTTCTATGGAAACTTCTTTTGATGCAGACATCTTAACGTCTTTGACCCATATATACATACATATATACATTATGATATATAGGTTGCACAGAGCAACTTATACAATATATGCAATATGAAGAGAATGCTGAGCATCATGTTAGTCTGGGGCATGAAGATATTCTTTCTTATTAATAATGTTATTTTGACAATGTGAGTAGCAGAATTCAGAGAGGTATGGTTAGAAAGCAAGTAAAAAATTTAAATATTGAAAGACTGAAAATCGAGGTTTCTTTTTATTTAATTTGACAAGCATTTTTAAGTTATAAGTACACAAAAATACAAACTGCTGTTCAAAAGTCTGTAAGATTTTTAATGTTTCCGAAATAAGTCTCTTTTTATTTGATCAAAAACACAGAAAAAAACTGTAATATTGTGAAATATTATTACAATTTTAAATGACAGTTTTCTGTTTAAAGGTTCAAAAGTGTGGGGTCAGTACTTTTTTTTGGAAAAAATTACTATTCAACTGATAAAAAGTGATGGTAAACATTTAGATTGTTAGAAAATATTTCTATTTTGAATAAATGCTGTTCTTTTAAACTTTTTATTCATCAAAGAATTGTGAAAAAATGCAGGTTCCACAAAATATTGTGCAGCACGACTGTTTTCTCGAGCAGCAAATCAGCATATTATACTGATTTCTGAAGATCATGTGACACTGAAGACTGGAGTAATGATGCTGAAAATACAGCTGCGCATCACAGAAATACATTACAGTTTAACAGATATTCACACAGAAAACAGCTGTTTGGAATTATAAAAATATTTCACAATATTACTGTTTTTTCTGTATTTTTAATCAAATAAATGCAGTCTTGGTGTGCAGAAGAGACTTTGAAAAAAAAACATTAAAATTCTTATTGATCCCAGACTGTATGTGCGTGTGTGTGTAATATTATTTTCATCAAGGCTACATTAAAATGCTATTAAAATGGTAAAAAGCTGACCTGAAAAGATGGTTCTGGGGCATCCAGGCTGATCCGCTCCACCGTTTGCGTAATAGTCGATGTGACCCAGGAGATCACGATAGCCCAGCGCTACAAGAAAATGCCAACGATGAGTTAACTAGCTCTAGATTTTCATTTAGTGTGATGCTGGTGGTGTTTGCGTATGGAAACGTCAGTGCTAGACGGCTGTGAGTGCTCGTTTCCTGAAGCCAATCAAGAGCCTCTTCTCCAGAAACGTCTCAGTGTTGTGTGAGAAACACACCGTCCATGTCTGTGTGCAGGGCCTCCACGAACTGGGCATCAGACGGGTCGAGACGCTCGCTGGGGGGCTGACCGTTAAACTCCGGCCCTGCTGGATCCAGCGCTGAGTGAGACACGAGACATCACAATCAATCACACACCGCAAGTGATGACGGCTCGAAGCTTCAGGAGGAGAACTCACCTGTTATTCTGCCAATTCTTCCATTAAAATTGGCCCCAGTGAAACCTGAAATGTGGGCCCCTAAACTAACACCAATCATGTGTATGGAGCTGAGATTGGCCCCGTTGACCTGTAATGTCACACACACAGACAGACACACACACACACACACAAACACTTACTTCACAGATGAATATGAAAGAAAGCCACAGAACATCAAAGTCACAGGAAACACTGTGGTGAACATTTCACAAAAGATGATACAACAAAAGAATGGGTCTGTCATTAGGCTATTTAACACCTTGAAAATAAAAAAAGGACAATTCTTATTTTTTATGGAATATTACAGTGTTTGTTATAAATTATTTATCTGTGCACATATTAAAACAAACATGCCATTCCTTTATCTTCTTTGACACTCTGGGCCTCTTCAGTCACTTTTGACCAACAAATTTTACATTTTGAAACTTTACATTTTTTGCTTCATCAGAATGGGATGACACTTGGTGTCTTATGTCACATTAGCTATGTGAACACACAAAAAAAATCTTGAACATGAACCGGATATGTTAAAGGGTCAAAAAAAAAAAAAAAATATATGCAAAACCTAATAAAAGTAAGAAATTATGTCTAAAAACACAACTAGGGAATCCAAAAGCCTCTCTATGTATTTATGTACCGATGGTTACGCCATGACATTACACAAGTTTTTATCTTTAACGCCTCCAGATGGCACTATTCTTACTTCAAAACATTTATTTTAAAGGCCTTCATTTTATTTTAATCTGAAATATTGCATTGATTGAAAAATAATAAAAAATAAAAATAAAAACAAATTACATTAATTTTAATGGAAAAAACAGCTCATAAAAATGTATCAATATTGCATAGTATCAAAATTATAAATAATAATCAAAAAATATAAACAAAAGTAGGCTACAATTACATTGATTTTCCTGAAAAAAAAAAAACTTACATTTCAAGGCTCTGGTCCCTTATGACCATGAAGGTACCAAGTGTGACCCAAAAATGAAGAGGCCCAGAGGGTTAATAAAAAAAAAAAAAAAAAAAAAAAAAAATAAAAGACACCACTAAATCAAAATGGACAATTCTTTTTTTGTATAGAATTTTTCAGTGTTTATGATAAATGATTTATGCATGCTCATAATTATTGTTTAAAACACACACACACACACACCCTGACAAAGTTACCTACATGAGCATTATGTCAACATAAGACTGCATTAAAATAACGACGGTCACTAGCTGTTTATTCAAGTCTCCACCTGAATAAGTTAATAATTAACGCATGCTTCACCTGTGCACAGACAAACCTGCTGCCCGTGCTCAAGAACCAGCACAACTTTAAACCGCTCATAGCACGTATTTATTTATTTAAATTTAGGGTAGAGAGGGTAATTGAAAAAAAAAAAACATTTTATTTCAGCTAGTTTGTCGTTTGTCATTTTCATTTAGTTTAAGTTGAAGTACTAAAATAACTCAAACTAAAAAGTGAAACTTAATAAAACTATATTGACATATTAAAAAAATAATACAAATGACAAACTACTAATTTTATTGTATTACTAAAACTGTAAGCAAAATTAAAAACAGAAAATCTAAAAATAAAATCTAATTCAAAATACTAGCAAAAACTATAATAGTATAAAAATGACACAAAAATAAGCCTGCTTTGAACTGCAGAATGAAATGGCCTGTTCCCCTTCTACGGAACTCCACGCTGCGCCCCCTAGGGGGTACAATGGGGAATGCAGCCTGCATGACCGGTGTCTGTAGCACGTGTGAAACAACGCCAATCTATTGGTCCACCTGGCCCATGACGTCATAGGCGGGATGCCCGGAAGTATAAAAGGGCACCTGCTGAATACGTCATCCACTTTGCTATCTTCAGGAGCCGTCTGTTTGAAGTGCGTGTGAGAGACCAGGGCAGGTGAGCGGTGTGGAAGTGTGTGTTTCTGGCACTTGAGGACGTACACCGTGGGCTGTCCTGAAGGGGGCCCCGCGCCGTACCTGCCCCCCGGCCCCACGTCAGCTAAGGACGGCCGTGCGTGCACGATCTATCTGTCATCTGTTTTTGGTCAGGAGCTTGCGCGTTCAGTGCTCGAGGGCTCTGAACGCGCTCATTCTGAGTGTTATCCAATGAAGCTCCATTCGCGTTTGTCCCTCTTCTCGAGATGAGTGACAAGCGTTTGCATCTCGCGGTTCGGGTCCCGCTGTTGCCGAGGCACGGTTTAAGTTGAAGTACTAAAATAACTCAAACTAAAAAGTGAAACTTAATAAAACTATATTGACATATTAAAAAAATAATACAAATGACAAACTACTAATTTTATTGTATTACTAAAACTGTAAGCAAAATTAAAAACAGAAAATCTAAAAATAAAATCTAATTCAAAATACTAGCAAAAACTATAATAGTATAAAAATGACACAAAAATAAGCCTGCTTTGAACTGCAGAATGAAATGGCCTGTTCCCCTTCTACGGAACTCCACGCTGCGCCCCCTAGGGGGTACAATGGGGAATGCAGCCTGCATGACCGGTGTCTGTAGCACGTGTGAAACAACGCCAATCTATTGGTCCACCTGGCCCATGACGTCATAGGCGGGATGCCCGGAAGTATAAAAGGGCACCTGCTGAATACGTCATCCACTTTGCTATCTTCAGGAGCCGTCTGTTTGAAGTGCGTGTGAGAGACCAGGGCAGGTGAGCGGTGTGGAAGTGTGTGTTTCTGGCACTTGAGGACGTACACCGTGGGCTGTCCTTAGGGGGGTGCAACTGGAGCGGTCGCCCCGCGGCGAACGGATACCACATCCCCCCCCCGGAATGCGATCGCGAACGGACCGAAGGGGGCCCCGCTCCCTACCTCGCACCGGGCCCCACGTCAGCTAAGGACGGCCCTGCGTGCACGATCTATCTGTCATCTGTTTTTGGTATCCAATGAAGCTCCATTCGCGTTTGTCCCTCTTCTCGAGATGAGTGACAAGCGTTTGCATCTCGCGGTTCGGGTCCCGCTGTTGCCGAGGCACGGCGAAGACTCGGATCGCGGGGTTGAGATGCCCTTTTTGGGTTATCGGATCCCGCGGATAGCGCTCGAGTCGAGCAGCGCCTTAGGGATGTGTGCCTCCGTGTTTGGATTCTAACACTCGAGGGCATGTTCTGCTTTCGCATTTGTCTCGGCGAAGAGCATGCGCTTTCAGAGTTACACGCTCATTGTGATGAGTCACGATGTCTAGGCTCCGCTTGCGTTTGTTCCTATTCCCGAGGGATACGGAACAGAGCGTTTGTGTCTCGCGGCCCAGTTCCGCCGTTGCCGCGGCACAGTTTATCTCACCTCGCGGTCATCACTTTGATCTGCGGCATCTGCACACCCTACTATACGGGTTGTCAGATGCCACGGATATTGTTGGGTTGTTATGACGATGAAGTGTGAGCACAGAGTCATTTCAGCCCTGATCCTGCGAGATCGTGGGTGGAGCTATATTCAGCTCGGCCGTGCCTCTCTAATATGCATGTTATTGTGTGTGGAGAGCCTTGTTGGGTGTGAATATATTTAAATACTCTGTGGAGAGAGGCTTGCGAGTTTTCTCTCCCAGGGTGTTTCAGCACCTAGAGTGGTTATGGGGAATATCTTTTTGCTCTGGAATATGGCGGTCTGAGGGCAGCTTTATTCTAGCCTAGCTTCTGATAACTAGGTTGGGTTCCCCTTGGCACAAGTTCTCGAGTAAGTGCTAAAGCCTTTATTTAGGAATCAGCTATTCGAGGATAGCTGTGTTCCAGCGCGGAGACCGCTTCCCTTTTAGGGTTTTTAGATTGTGGTCTCTGTGAGCCCCTTGCCTGGACTGTGCTGTCTCCCCTTCGGGGTTTTAAATAGATGGCCCACTTCCGTGGCCTGGGCGATCTTCAGCCTTATCTGAGAGAACTGCTATTCGAGGATAGCTGTGTCCAGCCCTCTAGTGCTATGGCTACTGCTTACATCAGGCTTGATCTCGGACTATGATGTTTGTGTTCACTCTTTAACGAATCATTTACCTCCTTAATATAGCCTTCTGAGGGTGGTTATATTCCAGCCATTGTTTTTGGCAGGACGGGCTTACTTGAATACAGCTATCTGTGGCTAGCTGTGTTCTACTGCAATTGCGGTGAGCCCTCTCATGGAGTGGGCCCTTTTCCTAGTTATGTGCTAGCTCAGTGATCGCTCCCTGCTTAGGGTTTTAAGTAGTGGTCTCTTGAGCCCTTACCTAGACAGTACTGTCTCCTTGGCTATGTTATTCTGGTCCACAAGCCTTCATAAGACCTTAGGGACATAGCTACAGCGGATAGCTGTGTTCTACCTCAGCAGCTACTCTCTTTACCTGGGATTTAAGTATCATCTCTTGAGCTCCTCTAGAGGCTCTCTAGTTAGCCTCTTCAGTAGTCTTGTGTATCCAGGCTAGTTCTGCTCACTATCTGAGGATAGCTGTGCTCTTAACTTGGTTGGGATGTTCCACTTGATCTATTCGGGTTCCCCCGTTTCTGCCAAGTTGCGTGAGCGACCCGTGGTGTCAGTGGCATGGCCCCTTTCTGAGGAAAGGTTTTGTTTTATGTCTGTCGCTTCCTTGGTGCTCTCCCACCAGATGGAGAGGCATGCGCCTCGGCACGGCGTGGTTGGATTTCATTCCCCAATGTGCCCCCTAGGGTTCCGCAGCATTGAGTTCCCTGGAAGGGGAACGTCTGTAACCATGGTTCCCCAAGAGGGAACGAGACGCTGCGCCCCCTTGCCATGCCTTCGGCCTGCCTGTCTACGTCTCCTTCAGACAGCTAAAGTGGATGACGTATTCAGCATGTGCCCTTTTATACTTCCGGGCATCCCACCTATGACGTCATGGGCTAGGTGGGCCAATAGATTGGCGTTGTTTCACACGTGCTTCAGACACCGGTCATGCAGGCTGCATTCCCCAATGTGCCCCCTAGGGGGCGAAGCGTCTCGTTCCCTTTTGGGGAACCTTGGCTGCATGCGTAACCCAAGACGTTTTCTGCTGGCTGATCGGTAGGGTGCTATTATTGTCGAGTAGAAAACTCAGTAATACTGAACTGATTTAGGCTGAATGATGACATTATTGTCTCATAAAGCTGACTTGACTTGATCGCACTGAGGAACTTTTCTTTTACCTCCATTTTCTGGATGAGGTCGGTGAGGTTCGCGGCCACCTTGCGTGTGTTATCCACCACTTTCCAGTAGTTTATGTTGGTGGCCCCACGGTTCCAGTCCACCACGATCACGTTCATGTCGCGGCGCTGCAGGAGGAGCTGCACGAACTGAGTGAGCCAGACGGGAGGCGAGCCGGTGGGCCGGTAGCCGTGGATGAGGAAGGTGCTCGGGGAGCTGAGGTTAAAGCGAGGGCTGCTGAAGGGCTCTCGATGGGACAGCAGCTGAGCGCAAGACGCATTGACCCGAGTGTAGAGCAGGAGCCTCACGCTCAGCGACGTCCCAGACAGAGAGTGCTTCAGATTCAGGTCCGTCATCTCCTCACACTCCTGAGCTGCAGGGAGAACGCAAACAGTGTTTCTCATGCAGCACAAGTCTTCTGTTGCTTGCACACATCCATTACAGCTTTATCTGAGCCATACGACGCTCCTGCAGGTACATTTAATACTTTCTGAAGTCCTTTTTAAGGCCAAGTAAGGAAAAGTTAAGAAGTAAATTGAAGGGAACACAAGTTTTAGTAAAAGTTTTAGTAAATTTGTTGTGTTTTTAAATATTTTTAAAATGCCTATAGTTTTTAATAATATTTATTTATACATTTTAGTTGATTTACTTTTAGTTCTTTTAGTAATTGAAGTTAAACTAAACGAAAGTGAGAAAAAAAAAAAAAAATTATATATATATACATTTTTTTTTTCTCACTTTCGTTTAGTTTAACTTCAATTACTGAAAGAACTAAAAGTAAATCAACTAAAATGAATTTACTTATATATATATATATATATATATATATTATATTATATATGAGATGATTTCAGTTTACTTTTTATTTATTACAGTTCTAGTTAACTATAATAGCCTTGCCACTAGAATATGGAAATACATTTTACTGTAACTTCTGATCAAAAAGTTCTGTTCTCCCTCAGGATTTTTGTCTTGTTTTCCAGTGCAGATATTCTTAAATCAAGATACATTTATGTGAGAATCAAAATAACAAACAAAATTCTTGTTTTTCTGAGAAATTGATCAAAATGAAGAGAATTTATGATTGAAACAAGAACAAATATCTGCCAGTGGACTCAGAAAAAAAAATCTACTTGAATATCAACTTGTTCTTGTTATTAAGCATAAACTCATAACTTAATTTTGCTAAATATCTCAGAAAAAACGTAATATTTTCATTCTGCATCTCAAGCAAATAAATGTGTATAATTGCATAATTCATTTTAAATATGAATTATGCATGATATAAGAAATGAAAGAATACAGATTTTTATATTAAAAACAAACAAGCAAACCCAGCCCAGATGAGAAAAAGTAACACAAAAGTAACATAATGCATTACTTTCCTTAAAAAGTAACTAAGTAACCCAATTAGATACTTTTTCAGGGAGTAACACAATATTGTAATGCATTGTAACGTTCCCCAACACTGCAAATGGCCTAACATTCATTCTATTTACATCTACACTGCATGAAAATAAGTGGAAAAAATGTGTGTGTGTGTGTGTTTTGGTATTTACAGGAAAAGTGGGACTAATGCTACATCTGTGGAGTTGTGTTAACATTTCAAGAGAACTTCTACAGAAACACCCACCATAAATGAGACAGCACCCACCGTGAGTAATACAGAAACTCCCAGCTCATTATCTCACGCTGTTTCAGGCTGCGTAAGTTAACACGATGAAATATGAGCATTTGGAAGAATGTCATGTGGTTTCTTCTAAACAGTTCATTACAAAGGCAGAAAGGTGACATGGAAGGCAGCATTACCTCTGTGAGCGTCAAACCCCAGCAGCGTCACAAACACGAGCCTCCAGCAGAGCGTCCTGCAGACCTGCATCGAGGGAGACAGGAACCTCAGTCTACAGCGGATCTCACACACTTCTCATCTTTGCAGCTTTTTCTCTCGCTTTAAATGCTGTATGGTTTTATAGAGCAGCAGTGCAAAACTCTTCTGCTTTCTTTTTTATTGTTAGCCAAATAAAACTATTAAGCAGTTTTTGGAAAGCCACACATCACTTATTTTGCTCATTACGAAACCACAAGTTTCCAATGACCCCTGCTCTCACACACACACACACACATGCGCGCACACACACACACATGCGCGCACACACTCTCTCTCTCACTCACACACACACACACACACACACACGAAACTCATTACTGGTCAACAGGGTGTGTGCTATTTTGGTATCATTGATATACCATTATTGTTTTTGTTTATGTTTGAATAATATTTTTTATTTTCACTTTTTGGGTTCATTTGAAAGTTGTAGTGATTTTGTTGTGTTTAGTTTATTATTTGGCTTTTAAATATGTCTGTATAGTTTTCATAAAGTTCATGTTGTTTATTTATTTTTTTTATTTCATTAGTTTATTTTAACTTAAACTAAATGTTGTTTTGGAAACTAGCTGATTCTTTTTTAAATAAAATGTATTTGTTTGTTTGTTTATTTCTTTACTTACTTGTTTGTTTATTTATTTTACTTTATTTATTTTTGTGCTTTCAGTTTTAGTTACCAATCATTACCCTGATGTGTATGTGTCAGGTTTTGCCTAAGTTTTGGGGACCAAATGTGGTCACAAGGAGACTAAAACTAAAAGCATTTCCCATGAGAAAAACAGCTTACTAAAGACAAATAACGTTTACTGCAAATATTGATAAATAATGTTTTCATTCAAACTGAAAAACGCAAGAAGGTTCGTGTGAGGAACAGGTTTTAGGATCCAAAACATACTAAATATTATTAGCTCAGAATTAAACCCACAGAAGTCGATAGAAATTCCCATTATTGAACAGTAACTCACACAAACCCTCTGTATGTTATTTTTTTTGGGAGAGTCATTGTGCGGTTGTGTAATGGGACATTTTAGGGACTCTGCATTTGAACTGGCTGAAGCTGAAAAGAAGACAAACTGGTTTGAAGCTGCAGTCTCGGGGATCAAAACAACGAACATTTACATCAACCGTGTCCTCAGTGAAATCATGAAGCAGCACTGAATCCGACAGAGCACTCACTCACACAGACAGACAGCCATGAACTCACATGAGCAGTGGACACCATAAACACACACTCAAACAAACAGCACATACTACACTATCATAACACATCACTATCTGACTGCAACAAGGCATATGGCACGTGAAGGATGTCTTACCATGTTGGACGAGTGAGCAGCAGTCTCTGTTGAAGCTGTCGGGTCGCTGGTAATCATCTGAAGAAGACTCCAGGAAACAGTGAGGTGACACACTTACACACAGCTCCTCCTTCACTCCAGCTCCACCCATGATTCCTGCAGACATCCACCTACAGGTGGCACATTCCTCAAACCCCTCTGCGCCACCTGCGGCGAGCAACAGCAAGAACAGACACGAAGCGTGAAGCTATAGTCTCTGCGGTGGCTTTGCATTGATCTGAACGAGTGTCGAGGCTCAGACGGATTGCGTGCATGACCAGCATCACGTGGGAAACTGTGAAATTAAAATATTCATAATACAATATAGATATATATTCATACAGTTTTTGTAATCTGCATTTAATTGTATTTTCAAAATAACATTAAAAAGAAAAATATGTTTTTATTGTAATTTCAAACACCACGTTTATTATTTTCGCAGTAACTCTTAATCAGTTGTTAATGTTTAGTGGATGAAGTCAGGTGTAGTTCATCACAAACTATCAACATGTTTGAAAACCTCACTTTTAACAACGCAGTTCAGATGGAAATGTACATATTATTTTTTAAGCTGACCAACAAAACTAGGAAATTATTATAATTAATAATGCATGATGGGTATAAGTTATATACAAATTATTGTTAAAAATTCTGTATGATTATTATTTTAATACATTATATTTCTTTATATCATCATCTTTCATTATATATAATTTATTGTAAGATGCATTTAATTTACCTTTAAAAATAACATTAAAATGGTATATATAAACAGTTTTTATTTTAATCTGTTTTTGGAATTAAAAAAAAAAGTTATTAAGTTGTGCTCAGTGTATGCATTTCATTGCCTAGAAATAAAAATCAAGTGGCGTGCTATTTTTTTCAATAAGTCTCAATCAGATGCTGTCAAGGTGATTGTTAGTGGATGACGTCACTTCACACGATTGATTTGTAGTGGATGACGTCACTTCACAGGCGATTTGTAGTGGATGACGTCACTTCACACGATTGATTTGTAGTGGATGACGTCACTTCACACGGGTGCTTGTCCGAGTGAAAAGTGCGCTTCAAATAACAACAGCGCTTGTGAGCGTGAGGTTTTTGTTTCAGGAAGGACACGCATGTAGTCCAGATGTTTGTCGCCCTCTGGAGGCTGACTGCAGCACTGCGCTGTCGCAATCCTCTTCAGCGCGCTTATAAAAGAGAGCAGGACGCGCGAGCAGCATCCGGGGAACATGTCCCAGCGCTTCCGTTCATCAGCCTCACGGTCGCTTCAGAGCATGTTTGATCGAGACAGAGATCTCGACAAGACGGTCCTCGTGGGGAACATCCACAGCTGCGTGACAGAGGAGATTCTGTTCGAGCTGTTCCTGCAGGTGAGCTCTTCATCATTCACCTGTTCACACTCCTGCAGTGATTATTGATATGCAGTGACAATAACTGTCTTGTCCTCTTGACGAATCTATTTTTGCAGCCCATATTTCTTCGGTTCGTTTACTGGCGTTTAGAGCATCAAGCCAAGGAGCTAATAATATTTTAATCGTTAAACTAGACACGCTTTGTGGGATTTTAAGTAAAAAAAATTACCTAAAAATGAATCAAACTTTTAAAGAGTAATGTTGGATACTTTTATCTCTTGTAGAACTACAAAGTTTGTTTGTTTTGTTAGTGTGTTGTATTTATTTGTTTGTTTAAATGTAATTTATTATTGTTGTTAGTTTATTATTATTATTATTATTAATAATGTTTTATTTATTTATTTTTGCTTGTCATTTATCATTTTTGTAAGAGTTATTTATTTGTTTAGTTATTATTATTTAAATTGTAATGTATTAATATTTAGATTTAATATGTATATTTATATGTATATATTATATTTGATTTATTTGTTTGTTTAAATTAATTTATTATGGTTATAGTTTATTATTATTATTATTATTATTATTATTAGTAGTAGTAGTAGTAGTATCATCAATGTTTTATTTATTTTTACTTGTCATTTATAATTGTTATAATGG